TATCAGTTTGGCACTGTCTGGAAACCCCCCCCCCCCCAAATATTTTTAAAAAGTATAAATCCAGAATTTTAAATGCATAAAATCAAGGGCTTTACTCTATTAAGTAAAGGTCATTCGTTTAAAATAAACTTGATCAACACAGATCCATGAAGGTCTGTGGGAAAAGACATTCATTTAATGCTAAAGCTTAAAACAGCCTTTAATTTTTAAATTTTAATTTTTATGTTTGGTAATTCCTGTGAATTATTTTCTCAGTAAAGATGCAGTGCTAATAAAACCCAAACTGTCACAGCTATGACTGCACAAATGAGCTTTTGTTGTTTTGTTTGTTTGTTTCCATTAATCTTTTGCGGTCATTTGTTTGTATTTTAAACAAACAGCATAAACTGTAGGTTATGTAATATCAATAAGTACATTAAAGACATTAAAACTAAGCTGGTGACCATAATTTCTTGCTAATGTCAAAGCTTCAAAGTGTGTTTTGATTTACGTTAGACACAAACTCTATTAGGACACAAATGAGCCTCGTGGTTAACACGCTGGCCAATAGGGGAGATTTTATCTTCTCCATCATGACAAAGATCCTGAAATAGATTAGCGGCAGTGTCTCATAATGAGTAGTGCGAATTGCTCTGACAGTCCCAAGACAATACGCAGTCCCACAGCCTCATTCCATTCTAGTCTCACAGCAACGCAGCCACAATGAATCCCACTAAACACTCCACCAACGGTGAATCATGCTACCATAAAACCAATATAAACATCAGAGCAGACTCAGAAATACGGTATCTGATGAAACGCTAGTGGCAGAGAGTTAGTGCAAACTACAAGGAGCTGCGGTCTGATTTCACACTTTGATTCAGTATTGCAGAAGTTTCCAGCCGCTCTACTCGTTAATTATGGATGAAAAATCCTTTCATCGGGGCTCACAGAGAAAGCTGCTGCATTGTTTTCGCCTTCAAGTCCTGATGGGAGAATGCTCATCAAGTTTAAAAGTGAATTTCACTCCTGGAGCGTTGCGTGAAAGCCAAACCCTGCACGGCGGGGAAAACCCCCCAAACAAGTGATCAACATTACAACCACTGACCACTGACAATGATAGCAGCTCTCAGTAACACCAGTCATCTGTTGGGATACCTTAGGCCCTGACATTAATGCTGAGGTTAATTTGATACGTACCCACCCACCTTGGCATTGTTGCACACAAAGCACACCTATACATAGCAGCAGCATTCCCCCAGGAGGACAGTGCACTAAACCCCAAAACCTCTCAGGGCATTCATCTCGACTCAAACTCCCCAGATACCAATCCAACTGAGCATTTACAGGATGCAGTGGAACAAACTCCACGACCCGTCTGAACCAAAGGATCTGTTGTTACTGTGCCTCAAGACACGCCCGGATTTCCGTGTCCAGGCCTTCACAATAATAGGCAGGTTCTTTTAATATGCAGATTAGTATGTCAAAACTCTGAGTCTTAATTATCAGATACTATGTAAATCAGCATTTATTGATACATTTGGTCATGTTTCTTTAAGCTCTGCTTTTTATTATTACATTTATGGAGTTTGGAGCCTGTTTGGATGGTTTTCTATTCTAATGCTCGTTTCTTTGACCTTTATTTAACTTCAGTTTCTATTTGAGTTTATTTCTTGTGTGTTTAGTTCCTTCAGTGTTTCCCCCTCTCTCATCTTTACTCGTCTCATACTTATCTCCTTGTCTCACAAGTGGCTGTGGCTCAGGTGGTAGAGTTATCATCAACAAATTAGAAGGTTCCTGACTCGATTCCTGACTCCTCAGCCCATGTACTGAGACATCCTTCTGCTAGGTGATGAATCTGTATGACTGTTAGA